TAGGTACACCTGCGCTAAGACTGTGCTTTTAAGGGCGGCATCACAGGGACGCCAGAAGCCGAAGAGAAGCCGAAGAGAAGCCGAGATCACCAGAGAGCCTGTTATAGGACAGGGAGAGGGTCAGCCCAAACCCTGCAAACCTGCCTATTCTACATGGGTTCTGCCATCCGCCGCATCAACACAAAACATAGGAGACTTTAATGGGAAGGAACTTTAATAAAACTAGGAAACAATACAGGAAAGGCAAAGAGTCTAGTTTCTAAATGAAGCATCCAGAGTTACCCGTCCCCTCGTGGGTAAAAGTCCATCCAAATGGGATTGCCCAGAACAAGGCCCAAAGCCTGCCACAAGTCTAAAGCATCTTCCTGTGGGACCACAGAAAAGGGTCACAAACAACCGACAAGCCCGGAAGGAAAAGAGCAAAATCAACATCAAGATAAAAACTGCCATTGTCACCTCCCCACAGGTCTCACCCACATCTGTGTCACCCAGTCCACGACCAAAAGACAAGCGCAGTTTCTTTACGTGTCTCTAGGATCCATGCGTCTCCTCCAGGTCTCCTGGCTCCATCCTGCTTCCTTCCTTCCTCAGTCTCTTCTCCAGCTTCCCCTCTTCCTGCTCAGCTCCACCCTTCCTTGGGTGGGGCAGGGAACCTGGAACCTCCCCCTTTCCTGGGGACCACCCTGTTACAAGCCCAGATAGAGTGAGGATTTGCTGGGGGCTGGGAGGCCTGCCAGCCTCCTGGCCCCCCAGCACCCTTGCCTGCCATGTGCCTGGAAAATCTAAACAAAATACCTGCAAAAGCCACTGAGGACTCTGACTCCTCCTTTACCAGGTCTGCATGGGATCAGAAAACCTGCCCTGTGTCCAGTCCTGCTTTACAACATGGAATTGCCTTATAGTCTGGCAATTCCACTTTTGGGTATACATACCAAATAATTGAAAGCAGGTACTTGATTAGATATTTGTACACTCCTGTTCATTACAACATTATTTACACTAATCAAAAGATGGAAACAAGGCATGCATCCATTGACAGATGAAGAGGTAAACAAAATATGGTATGTAACAAACAATGGAACATTATTCAACCTAAAGAAGGAAGGAAGGAAGGGAATTCTGACATGCCACAATATAGATGAATCTCGAGGACATTATAAGTGAAATAAGCCTGACATAGGACAAACACTGCCTGATTTCATCTCATATGAGGAAACTAGAGTAGTCAGATTCAGTGACAGAAAGTAGAAAAGGAGGAGGAAGTAGGGAATTATCCTTTTTTTTAAAAAGATTTATTTATTTATACAGGCACTGGGTACAGTCAGAAGCGCGGGAGGGTGAGAGAATCCACCAGAGCCAGAGCGGGGAGCAGAGCAGGCAGAGGACGAAGTACACTGCTGAGGGGAGCAGCGGGCGGCAGGAGAGGTCTACGTGCCATGTGGGACCCTCGCCGGGGGCCCGGGATCTAACCGGTGCTGCAAGAGGCTGCAAGCAGCTTCGCAGCCCAGCGGTCAACCGCTGCGCCACAGGGAGGCCTGGGAATTATCCTTTAATTGAACTTCAGTTAGGAAAGATGGAAAAGTCATGGAGATGGACGGTAGTGATGGTTGTACTTCCTACCACTGAACAGTACACTTAGAAATGGTGAAATGTGGGCCTCCCTAGTGGCACAGGTGTTGTCTCCGAGCTATCAAGCTATCACCAGCCACCGCGGCACGAGTTTGATCCCCAGCCAGGGAGATAACCCACATGGCACAGCAGACCTCTCCTGTCTCACCCACTGTTCCCCCTCAGCAGTATATTTCAGTAGAAATGCCTGTTCTGCTCCCCACTCTGTCTCAGGTGAATCCTCTCACCCCCAAACCTCTGGCCTGTACCCTGTTTCTTGTATGTATAAATAAATAATAAATCTTAAAAAAAAAATAGTGAAATGATAAATAATGTTATTTGTGGTTTATCCCAATAAAATAACCCACACATTTCATAAAATACATGCATATGCAATTACTTTTTCCTTGAACATGTAGCTTTTTCTTATAAAGTATAATTAAAAAAAAAAAGTGTTTCTTCTAATTCAGCCAAGCATTCTGGTGGGCATCCTTACTAATTGGATTTCAGTGTTGAGTGGGGGCAGTTGTTACTTCGGTTGGGGACAAAGAAGCCTTGGGTATTTTAGTCTTCAAATCTAATCTATAAGTGATAAATTACCTTCATCTACATTTGCATGGGATAGAGGATAGAGGGCATTTCAGGTAAAACAATGGGATGAAGTCATGCAGGCAGGGGCAATTGTGGGGGAGGGGCCGTAAAGAGACCATCCTGATTAGAAAGTATGTGGTTCTGGTAGTGAGACAGACAGTGGGCTGTGTGAGGTCAAGCTATGGAGGGAGTTCAAGTTTGTTGTGTAAAGTAATAGGCATCCATGGCAGTTTCTTATTCTGGCTTTATGTCTATTGCATATACCAAAACATAAAACCTTTCTGATGGTGAGATTGTATTCTTCAGAAAAGAGGAATGGATATGTTCTTCAACCTTTAGAAATCTTAATCCCTTTTATCCCGGCTATGCTATGTGTACAATTTCTTTAAAATGCAAAGCTTTATACGCTGAAAAATTTGCAAAGGAGGCAAATTATACTTGCACAAAACACCATCACTACACTCTATTGATCTTAGTAAATTGACAAAACTGATAGCCGGGGTCTTGAAACCCATTCCTGTGGCAAACACTATGCCATTTCTTGATTTGCTTTTCTGAGGGCTGAGGTGAAGGTCACAATGTGTTGACTTATAGCAGACACATAAATGTTTCCTTCACTTTTTTTCCCTGACATCATTCATTACTTGGAAAACATGGAGACTTTTTGTTTGATTTGGAGAAGGCAGCCTATTTACCAATGGCTGAAGGGTGATTAAGAAATAATGTAACTTCAAAGAGTGTGTGGAGAGAGGCCTAGATAAAAATTGCCTGACTTTCTTTTCCATGTAATGGGAAGTTGATTTAGGTAAAATTTGAACAAGTCCTGTTGGATAGGTCATTGAAAGTTAAGAATAAGCCTAAGTATCTCTGGTATTATAAAAACATTGTCTACAATGGTAGCCCCATGCACTGTTTAAGAGGCTGACTGTTGTCAGGATTCTATAATAAAATTACAAATCCCAGTATTTGGAAAATGCTTGTGCCTGCTTCACAAGCATTTGTAAAGTGTTTTTCAATGTTCTAGTTCATAAAGGTAGAGTGATTCATTTGAGCGTGATCAGCAAATATTGCTAACAAAGGGAAAGAAGGTGTTAAAATGACTATGCCTACATGGCTAGGTCTCATTGCTATTAATATTCAAAGGTTACTGAGAGCCAGACTCATTCAGATTCTTTCCTTTTGGCTAGTGAAAAGTAATGTGAATTAGGATTGTGCAGAAAGGGCCAAACTATACTTTCCATTTCCACCAAAGACACAAATTTTTTTTTTTAATAGCATAGGAAGAATGCAGCATGTGTCATTTGTCACAGAGCCTGCGGTTTTCTGTTTAGCCCAGCTAATGGTG